AAAAAAAAAGCACCGAAATAAAGCACCGAAATGTGCGCTGCTTTTCGGTCTGGTTACTACCGTTTATGTCAGAACGACACCGGTACCCATCCCTACACGGGAGTAAGAGGGAGCTCACCGGGATTAATTGTGTTCTTGTTATTTACTCCACTGTAAATAAAACGCACAAGAGTCCTGCGTTTGGGTCGTCCACCCCCACGGTCTGCCAGCGCAGCTGTGACAGAAGGTCTTATGTCTGAAGGACCTTATGTTTGCCTCCCTTTGACGACAGCATCATCTTCTAGTTGAGATTCCTTCTGTGTCACAATCATTTTCTAATATGGGATACAGAACGGGAGAAACCAGCCAAAGAGCCAAGAACACCAGCCGTGCACACAATCAGCCGTGCACACAATCAAGAAGAACCGGACTTTTCTATACTTCCAATGCTCATCTCAACTGTCTGCAAATATCTCTCGAAAATGTAATTTTCTGATGAAAGCACTGTAAATAAGTGGTTTTGCCCCAAATCCTCGTCCAGCAACGCTCCTGGCTGTGATGGGAAAAGCCCGCTCAGGGCAGCCGCACATGCTCAGGGTGTGATGAAGTTAAGAATTTTAAAAAAATCCGATATGACTGTAAAACTGATCTGGTTGCAGTTTTTTTAACAGAGCATAAAACATTTTGTCAGCTGTAAAAATGTCCTGTGGACACGTCTCACACCCACTCACGATGGTGCGCCTGTAACTGAGGCAAAGATTTCCCAGGGCCTCATTAAATATATTGAAGTTATTGCAGGTGTAAACACCCGTTTGCCTCACAGGTCGACTAATGCTCCTTCAGGCCGCTGCTGCTGGCTGAAAAGCAGATTCACAGACAGTCTGTGGGATTTACAACAACAGCTACAAACAACTTTTAGCAACTGAAACCAGAAAAGAGCCAAGAAAGATCAGGGAATAAAAGTGTGCGTCTGAGTCCTTTACACTTTATAAATACATGTAGTTACACGTAACGCTTCATTCATAAAGTTTTCCTCCCGCCTCTTCGTGGGAACTCGTGCCCTCAGCTCTGACCTGCAGGAGTCAGCAGGTTAATAATGGAGACCGTCCCTCGTCAGGTTTTAAGCCCAGGTGAAAATGAGGTCCGGTCGTCCTCCCAACGTCCTTCAGAAGCTGATACCGTGAATTAGTTTTCACAGAGTCTGAGAACTTCCCCGTCTCACTATCTCGTCTCTAATCTTTCAATTACTGCGTGTGTGTGTGTGTGTGTGTGTGTGTGTGTGTGTGTGTGTGTG